TCAGCATTTACTATAATTTACTGATAATTTTCATGGATGGGTCTCATTCTCGGCCTGAAAAATTATACAACAAGCAGCATGTTTGTTTTGTTTATGCATTCACATTTATAAAGAAATACAGTCATGAATTACACACAAACAGTGAGTGAAGATTCTTTAACTGAAAACACGCTTGTCAATGATCAACAAAGTTAGAAACGGCTCTAATGCAGCATTTATATAGAGCTGTGTAGTTGTAAATCAGGACTGATGTATTGTAAAACACAACAGTGCAACAAAGACATACAAAACACTCGTCAGCAAGCTAAAAGTGCATCACGCTCTTCTTCAGCTGAAATAAATCTCGCTATTGATGTGTTAAAATATCTTCTTTCATGAGACAGAACTGTGTTTATAAACTGCCCTCAGAAAGCCAGTAGAATCTGGACGCAGCCTTTATCATGCAAGCAGAGATTGCATCTCTCAGAGATGCAACATCAGATACAACGCACACAATGGAGTGAGTGACGTCACTAAGACAGGTGGGGTTAGGTGAGCGCATTAAAAAGCATTGGATGCAGCTCAGATTGCACTGCACCAGGTCTGCATCCAGACCCCTCACCAGAAAGCTGGTCAGTTTAGCTCAAAAATATAGGTTATGTTGTTCTTTTCTACTCATCCAGTATAGAATCATCATTTTGCTTCATATTAGAGCATATATTAGATCAACAAACTGAATCAGCTTTTTTCCCTGTCAAACACTAATGAAGATATACCAAATGATGTTGGAAAGAAGCAGCCATTGACATCATTAGTAGACGATCATTTTGAGTATATCTTCATTCGTGGTAAACAGAAGGAAAAAACTCAAACAGGTTTGGAACAAATGGATGAGTAAATTAATTGATATTAAGGTGAGGATTGATTTAGGTGTACTGTCACTTTAAAAACAGCTGAAATTACAAACTGCTTCCCAACCACATTATAGGTTGACTTGTGTATTTAAAATCAGAGTATTTGGTTGCATGTACATTTGGTTGCATCTTTGGTTTTGGATGTGATTTTGTGTGAATCTCACATTTCAACACTACAGATATGCTTATTTAATCTAGAGCAGCTCTAGTGTTTACACAGATCAACACGTTTAACAACTAATATACTGAAATAGGCTGATTAACATGGTTTTCATTCAGTGCATCATACTGAGTAGATGATTTAAATTACTTAAGGTACAAAGATATACACGAATGAAGTAAAAATGAATGCAAAACCTAAATAAATAAATGTAAATAAAAGCTGCAAAAATACACAAATACCACAAAATATTGTCTGAGTCGAGTTTCCATTTACAATGTGTCAGCGTTCTGGAAGGGTGAGGGAGCGAGGACTCAAATGCAACAGAAGATGGTTTATTATTAATTAAAATAAAACAAAAAGGACAACAAAAACCACCCCGAGGGGGAACAACATAACTATAAAACAAACAGACAAACTTGGCTGGGCTGGCGAGACACAACTGGAGCAGGAGCACAGGGGGAGTAAAGACGACAAACAGGCACAGGACAGCAGACATGAGGAGAATATAAGCAGGAGAAAATTAACAAACAACAGATGAACATAATTAACTAATAATGGGTTAACGAGGAGGGCGGGACTAGACAATAGACGGGAGGGCACATGACACAAAGAGACAACACAAGCCATGCGCTCACATAAAACAAGATTAGAACACGCAGCCAATGAGAGAACTCATTAACCGCGTGTTCATGACAACACAAGCACGCGGTGCATGTAAACACAACACCAACAGAAGATTGAACGCAACAAACGAAGAATGAAAGCACTCACCTTGCACTCACACACGCAGCGTGCATGTTTCATCCCAGTGCCAACCAAAACCGAAACCAACTGGACTGAGACGCTGGGAATAAATCACCATGCTGCAGACAGACGAACGGGAACACCCGGACAGGAGCGTGCACTTGCAAACACACAAAGACCTCATGCACCCGCATCAAGCAGAAACGCGCACGGTCCATGCCCGTTTACAAATGGCGCTCATACAGAGACGCACACAATGACAAAACAAGTGCTCGACCCAAGAAAACTCGAACCGAGCACAACAAGACAGGACTAGACAGAGCCAGTGTCCGGACTCTGCCATCAAAACAAGCATTTACAAGACCAGAGTGGCAGAACCCTGACACAATGATTGTGTAAGTGTTATAACATAATTTGACTGTCAATACAATGCACAAAACTGATCATATTTACTTGTATGTATTAATAATTTAAACATTTTTGTACTATTTTATTTCTGATATATGTGATTTTCATGTGAACATTTTATTCTTTTGATTCAATATTTTATATATATATATATATATATATATATATATATATATATATATATATATATATAT